TTTTTATCACAGACTTTTACCATAAACTTTTTGAAGTGTGCTTGAGCCTTATTAATATCTTGTTTTAAATTCTTGACCTTTATGTTAATGTTTCAGATTGTTTTAGTTCTTAAGCCTGCTTTGTCAACAAAACCTAAACTTTTATGACAATAAAGCATTTCTGACTCCGACTCTGACTATATATTCGACATGATGAACCAGAAAAACCTAACGCTACTTATTATGACAAGGTAAGTATACATTATTTCTGTTGATTATAAAATTTACAAAGAATGTTCATGAAACAGTGGTTCCCAAAAGTGATTGATTATGCAAGCCAGGAAGAGAAAGAAAAGGATTTATAAATAAAACAATACCACTACTGCCGGTAGTTTTTTGATTTTTATGTAAGTTATAAAAAACTACAGTTTCTCCCTAAAACAGTACCATATCTGTCATTCCTGCCAAAAATAATTTGCTCTCTCTGCTCAATCAATCACGCAGAGATGCCAAATAACTCTTAGAAGAAAATGGCTCAAACAGAAATAAAATCAGTGAGAATAAAATGCACCGATTGTACTCAAATGTGTGAAAAAGTATTTTCAACATCATACAATGGATTGAAAAGTGATTTATTCAGCAAGTATTTTTATTTATTTGATTAGGAGATTATTTGATTATGAGATTTATCCAACTGGCTAATTGGTAGATATTCTGTTTGATCCTTGTTTTTGAGTAGTTAACTTGAAACATACAGTCAATGTGTTGTGAATTGAGTGACTCAAGTGCTGTGAATTTGAGTTTCAATGAAAATCTTAGTTCTGCTTCTATATAAAACGTCTATATACATCATGAAAGGGTTAAAATTTCAATTCATAAACGAGGTCACCGTGGTTTCTCATACCTGCCTTGGTTATGGTTTTCACATTTTTTTTTACCTTACGAATAACTGATATAATGCTTAACTCATACTCCACAGATGATATCACATATTAATTGACAGAGAGACATACAACAAAATAATAGAAGTACAATAAAAGGCAGGTTTTGACAATTCAATTGATCAAAGATTTCTTAGGTGTCAATAAAAGCTGACTTGGACTTTTTTGCCAATCTTAATGTTTCTTCTAGTTAATATCAGATGCATATAACCATTAATTGCTTTTCCTCCATAAATTATTTTGAATGCTATTGGTTTGATCTTTTTTTTCTTCAAGCATAAGATACGTCTATGAAAGTAAGTCCGACTCCTTGGCAGTATCTACCTGAAGAAGTTAAGGTACATCAAATCATCTGNCTCGCTTGAGTGTGAGTCAAAATTCCCCAAAATACTTGGGTATTAAATGTTTCAATAAAATAACAACTTTTATAGGGATCAATAAAAGTAGAACTGTAATGAGGAATGAACTATATGATTTCTTGTTGGATAACTGCTTCTACAGTATGGATGAATTTCTTGCTTTTAGTGCTTAGATAAATGACTTAGTTTATTTTATACATGTAGTCTTCTCTCTTAAGTTTGTTCAAGATCTAACATTTTTGTTTTGCTTTTAGCGTTTTACTTTTGAGTAGTCCAATAAGTTTTCTCACGTATTTAGTCTTGTAATTATGTATGTGTGAAAATTTTAGTGATGAATAAAACTATTTCTATTTCTAATATCGCCGATTCCTTTAATGAAATCATTTCAATATTTTACTGAACTTACCTAACAAACAGTATACCCAGGAGGTATTGAACTGATTTGGAGGAAGAGAGTTGAGACGTTCAATGGCTGAAGAACAGTCAAACTGTGCTAGATCCAAATATGCTTGCCCTATATCTCTCAATAAAGACATCAAACCTTCAGCGCTTTGTTTCTGCAAGTTCATCATTTGCTGCAAACAGTTCTCAGCATTGGTATTGGACATTGCACATTTTTCTACTTTGGCTTCCTCCAAAGTAACAGTTTCGCTTTTCTCTTTTTCAGATTTATTTCGTAAACTCAATTCAGTGTAGTTTTTATTGAGATTGCACTTGGCCATTCTTTGTTTGGTTTTACGTGACGGAGACTTTGGTGTTGCAAATTTGTTTCGGTTGGGTGATTTGTTGTTTTCTTTGACAGAGTTATTGCTGAACAATCTGAAAAAGACCGAATTTGTATTTGATAACATATTTTTCAAGTTGAACATTGTTGAATGGTTGAACTGAAGCTTCTAGTGTAGAATCAATTCAATACAAACATTGCTCACAAAACTATAGTATAATTCCAAAATAGTAGGCACTGAATTCTCAGAAATGACTGGCGTTTCTGACTTAATCTGTCTCTTGCTGTGGGTTACAGATGAGGAAAAATGATGATAAAATACAGTGTGGTACGAAACTTCTGAGGGCGATTCGTTAAGTCGTTTAAGAAAAAAAATCCTATGAACATATGTCCGGAGTTGCTTCGTTTCTGAGGGTGTAAGAGTTAAAAAAAAGGGTATTTATAAAATATTTCAATACAGACTAGTCGAGATGAAAGGATAAAAAGTACTTGAATTTACAACGTATTTTAATATGTAACATAATAATTCACGAATGACCACCATAAACTACAAACACAACTTCAAATGAGTGACCGTATGTAGACAACTGTTTATTTGTTTTGACCAAAACGATGATTAGAAAACAATTCACAACGAAATCAATTGGCAGCACAAGTTGTGATAAACATAAAAAAAAATCTAAGCATTTACTCACAATTGAAATAATGACGAAATATGGAATGTGTTTACTGAAAAATTTTGAAACTATATTGAATTATGAATAGTAATCCAGTTCAATTTTGTGGGGGGATTCAGGATGATTTTGCTAACAGGTTGAAATCAAGGAGGCGCTGAATACGAATTTTTATACTTGAGAAAATGAGAAACTCGCATTTTACAAACTACGATGCCTCGTGAAGTTTGATGGAAATCCTCTTGATAGGCTGTAGTTATAGGGTGAATCTTCAAATTAGAATAACATGACGTACCGAGTTCAGAATGAATTTTCATACTTCAGAAAATAAAAAATTCATGTTTGCAAAACGATGAGTATTCCTGTGAAAGTTTGTAGAAGCACTCTCGATAGGCCGTAGTTGCAGGGTGATTCATCAAATAAACGTGACATTTCGTTCCGAGTTCCATACATATTTTTTACTAATGCGCTGAATATTTGTTTTATTTAAGATTTATGTTATGAGTCAAACAAATCCTATGAAGAATGTGTTGAATAAAGCTGATGAAATGAAGCAATTAAACTTCAAATCAAAATTTATTTTTGAACTTTGATTAAACCCAAATTTATTTAAACCGATATCAACATTTATTTTTGAACCTCAAATCAATATTTAAACCGAATAATTCTGCCGGATAAACAGTTTGGTAACGGTTAAACCAAATAGTATTTGGCGCATCTCTAACATTTTTGAACACCAGAAATTGAAAAAAAATTAATATTTTCCAAATTATGACAAGTACTTTCTTTGTGAAAGTCTTCTTGANAGTTATACACTTGTATATATGTCAGGAAGCTGAATATTGTCTATTGGATAGGCCTAGAGGATAGGCTAAAAATGCAAGAAATGAATATGAAGATAAAGCAGGTTCCATTTACAAGTTTTAATAACCAGAACCGCTGAAGGGCCTTACCTGCAAAAGTAAATCTAAGAAAGTTTCGATTGGTGTGTCAGAATAAATAAATTTGGAAGTTCACAAGAGCACAGATAATTAAATATAACTTTATACCTACTTTTCCAGTTCATATGCACAAATTCCAAATAAATATCTACATTGGGACGAGCTACCTGACCTATCTTTGAGAGTGTGATAAGCATGAGCTATCTGACCATTCCTGAAGTAAGCTGTAGCCAGCAGAAAAAGACTTTCATCCGTTTTAACTACAAAAAAAAATGTAAACAAATAACTCCTGAACAATTTATACGAATTATCACTTTACCTTCATTATACAGACGTTCTGATAAAAATATAGCATCCGCATAATCGTAATGATTCAAACAGTGCCAAATGGCAGCCTAAAAGAAAAAATTATATCTTCATTGGGAAAATTGATGGTAGAATAATAATTTACCTGAACAGGTTCTTGAACAATCATCGTTTCTAATTCTAATAGAGTATTGTCACTTTGTAACCATTATTTCATGTGATTTGGGCAATACATGGTTGTGAAAAAATTAACAATCGACTTTTTTAATGATTTCTTATTGTATTTATTTGACAGAAATGATGGTCGACATCCATTACTGTTTTTGTTTGTTTTCAGTGTCATTCCATAATATTTTGTCACTTTTCATTTGTCATTATCCATTAGCAACATTCGAGTTTACGCCCGGAACACCCGGAGCACACAGTGAATAATCCTATAGGCTGCATTCAGGCTTATCCAAATATTTACATTTTTGTTGCAAATCACAAACAACAAAATAACCATCACATCGAGAGTTCATACTAGTTTACTAGAGGTGTTTTCTGGCGCTCATTTATTCAAAACGTATTATTCGTCTGTGATTCAAATACATTCATTCTGGCGTTGAAACCATGACGTCATATCAACTATGATTTGAAACGTATTCATTATGATCCGAGAATACCTACCACAGAGGAGCGACATTAACGTCGGATCCTTTGATGTTCGGTGTCCCAACTCCAAACCGAAGATTTTGAGTGATAAACAGTATGATTCACTGAGAAAAATGACCTCTCAGCGATATACACTAATAAAAATACATACTCTTACGTTCTAGTATAGTACGAGGGCTCATTGTGAAATATAAAATTATAGTGTGAAGGGAATCTTACTCCATTCAATTTTTATATTGCTAATTGATCAACTTTCGCAGTAATAATAGGGAATATTCAATTATGTTGCCAACTTATTATTATTTATGATGAATTAGCTTTTAAGAAATAAATTAAATTACTCTTTTTTGTGAATCCAATTCATTAGATAGAAAATTAAAATAAAGTTACGATAATAGAATAATGCTTATATTATATAATCATTTTATATCCTCTGAAATAAATAAGTCCACTAAGGATGAATTGAATAGAAGTGACTTTTGTTATTTTATGTAATCTCTCTGCATCTGCATGAGTATGTTGAATACAGTAGTTCCGTAGTGGCCGTAGTAGTGGACGGATGTGCTGATAACGTCCGTCCACAAAGAAGGTACGCGAATACCATGTGCTATCGTGGGGCTCCGTTTTTGTGTTGTTCTAGTCCATTATGTTAATTATGGAAATATGTGAGTGTCTTTAACAAAAAAGTGATGAATAAAGGGTCCCCTTTATTCACGCCGGTATCCAGGCCGGCGCCGTATATGTAAAAAAACAAGGTCTCCCAAGCAAGAGGGGACTCCATAAAAACCAAATCGTTTTTATTATTCAAAGAATTGTTTTTATAATGAAAAAAAAAGTTGGAAAAAAATGGAACGCAGCATTGCTTCGTGCAAGACCGCTGCGCCCCCCGACGAAGCTCCTGTTAACTAACATGAGGAGCATTGGTCAAATGCGCCTGAAAATAGGAAGCAACGACCATCCAAAATAGAGAGAGAGATGTTGAATACAGCAAACTGAATTGTTGAAATAATAACTACGTTGCTTCTGATTGTAACATTATACAATTTGCAGAGAAATCATATGATTACTACTATTACAATTTATTACAAGGGGGTCAAGATGTTTATAATCACTTGCCCTCAGATTTGAGACAGACAAATTTGACCAACAAAATGTTTAGAATAAGAGTAAAATATTTTTGGCTAATAGACCCTATTATAAATTGCAAGAGTTCTATAATGATAAATTCACGTGACAAAATGTGCATATTTGAATTTGGGTTATATAAGATTTTCATTGTCTGGTGCAATGGGTGTGTTTATTTATGTTATATTATATATAGGTATATATGTTTATATTTCTAATATATGAGTATTGATGATATTTTCAAACAAATCTGTACACAACCATGTTGATACAAAATTTCGGCGTTGAACTATAGTATGTTCTAACTTTACTTTTTTGTAGGTGTTTTTATATTCACNAAGTTATCATTCTTTTTCGAAAAATTGGAGATATTGAGAAAAATAAATTCTTATAATAGGCTTTGACTTTGATGTTTCTAAATTTGACTTTCAATTTGTTACACTTAATGACATTTTGTTATTGTACAAGTCATTGAATTTTTGGTAAAAAATGGTTTTCAAGAATGAAGAAAAAAGAAATATGATACAATTTATTACAAATACGATAGAAACAGTGTTAGGACATCGGAAATGTATTTAAACTTGTATCCTGAAAGACGACAACCACATTGAACTATGTTCAAGTTATTGGATCAAAATCTCACCAAGTTTGGTTCATTTGAAACTGAAACAGGAAACTAAAGAAAATTTGATAATTAAGGTATGTATGAGGTAAGTTAGACATTGTGTCCTTTTCAATAAAAATTAATAGTTTGCAGGTAAACATGAACCCGGGTAAATTTACACGTCAAATTTCCTCGGAAATGAATATTTGTCATATGAGTGCTTGGAAACATCTCCAAAAAAGCAGTTTAAAATGTTACAAAATACACATATCTCAAAAATTGTATTCAGGTGATCCCGAAAGGCGATTAGAATTTTGTAATTGGCTAATAAGAAGACCTGATTTGGAGCATAAAAAACCTCAGGCAGTTCCGAGAAATTCGACCTCGAGTGCGATTTAGTATTAACGTGTGGGCAGAAATTTACAAAGAGAATTTTGGGTCCTCATTTATTTGACGGAATTCTGAATGGAGAAACCTATCACCAGATTTTAATGTCGATTTTCGAAGACTATATGGATGATCTACCTTTGGCTAACTATAACATCTGCTTTCAACATGATGATGCTCCAACTACCAAATGAGTATCTAATTACCTGACTAAAAGGTTTGGTGATGAATGGATAGGGAATAATGGGCCGGTGAGGTGGCCAGCAAGGTCTCCAGACTCAAGTGTTATGGATACATTATTATGGAGTACGCTGAAAAAAGAGTTTATGGTCAGAGGGAATATCAAAATATTGAGGACCTTCAACACAGCATTGTTAGAGAGTTCGGAAGATTGAGGAGAAGGGAAATTAATCGTGCAGTAAATAATATTCCAAGAAGGGCACAGTTGTGTTATCATGAACAAGGCCAGCATTTTGATCATTTGCTGTGATTTACTTTTGTCTTTACATTTTAGTTAATTATTGTTATTCGTTCTAAGTTTTATTTTCCTTGAAAAGGACACAATGTCTAATTTACCTCATACACACCTCATTTATCAAATTTTTATTGTTGATTTATGTCTCCGTATTTTTTCATTGGCTTTTCAAACGAAACAAACTCGGTGAGATTTTAATTCAATAACTTGAACTTAGTTCGATGTGGTTGTCGTCTTTCAAGATATAATGAATTAATTTTTTTCAAAATCTCCAATTTTTCGAAAAAGAATGATAACTTATGATACATCAATGAAAAAGTAAAATCTGGTTCTATTCAAAGCAGAAAGAATACAATGTAGCGCCCATAAGA